GATGAAAGCGTATTATAATTTTTAAAATAAAAAATTAGATTAGATGACAAAACGTATTAAGATTGACACGTTTATGCAAACTATATTTCCCATAAATTCGAGATGCGATTTTCAGATAAATCCATCCCCGAAATGAATGCACACGAGGGTCTTGGTCTTATCTTTACTACGCTTGAAAAATCGTCCATTAACGTCCATTCCAATGTCCATTTTTAAAGCTTCGATTATATTCTCCCCCTTTTATCGTCGGGCGATTTTCTCATTCTTTTATCAACGTCAGCGACGAGGAGAGGGGATGATCGAAGAATAACAGGAATGTTCTAAAGTTGATTCATCTATATTCGTCCACAACATTTCGACGATTCGGTTAAAATATTTACACATTCATGGCGCTAATCCAGTTTTCGAAACGTTCGATCGAAATGCGACATTTCCATGGACACGCAGTCGCGTGTTTTTTCCAACCAAATGTCAACATCGATTTTTTGATCTGTAAAACGTTAGCATTAATAATAATAATTACGAAAAATCTCTTTCTTCTCTTCCCTTTTGATCCTATTATACGCGCATTAACGATTGTAATTTCGTATAATCTTCTTTCAAATTTGATTTACCAATCTATCGATCCGAGCTATAATATAATAAAAATTCAATCTGGACGAGTGGAAAAAATAGTATTCGATAACACTTTTAAAGGTTTTTCTTCTTTGATGAATTCAAAATATTGTAATCATATCGCGGATTGCATTGGATTCGTCAGTCAGCGACAATGAAAAGAAGGATGGTAAAAGAGTAATCGCATTTTATCGCTTTCATAAAACTTCTGCTTCTGTGTAAACTCTTTTTTAAATTCAATTTTCTCAGTTTATAAAGTAACGAACTTTGTAAAACGCATTAATACGCAAAGTGAAAAAGTCACGCTTCACGCTATGATTTATAATCTTTAATGCGGGTTAAGAATAAAAAAAAAAAAAAAGAAAAAATTCTAAAATAAATGGCGACTGTCGTTTTATAGGAATTCCCGCAAAGAAATACGGGAAACAATATGTTTTCAAAAGCTGTTCAAAAGCTGCAATCCGAGCAAAAGTCACGGTGTTTTCACAATGGCCGTTCGCGAACGACGAATGTATCATTGATAATACATCCACGCTCACATCGACCCCTAATAAGGGGTGGCATGGAACCCATCCACGTGCGTGTGTTTATTCGTCTGAGCGAGTATATGGTGTAGGCAAATATACACAGAGCCGCGGCTTTCGCTGTCAAAGGCTCTCTTTAGCGATCCTCGTCAGAGCTACCCTGTTTTTCAACCCCAAATCCTACTAGCCCTTACGCTCACCACTCGTCTCTGGCTCTCTGAGTGGCCAGGACCGATTCCATTTCCTACGAACATTTCTTCTAATATCTATTCGAGATCCACGAACCTATCTATAAAAGTACCCTTGGCAATCTTTCTTTTCTGAAGGGAGAGAAAGAGAGAGGAAGAAAGAAATGCAGTGGTTCTCAAAGTGAAGTAGTTTTTAGTGGTGATTTTTAACATTTAAAAATTCTACGTA